CACAGGACTGGTCTCCTCCTCTAGATTCCTTTGTTGATGCTGACCTTGCTTCAGGTATGTTGGCAGGGGCAGGAGTCAAATGTTTATTTTCTCAAGCTTTGAATCATGTCCTGACAGCTAGGTGTGCATGTTTCAACTGACCACCTTGATTAACATTTGATGGCCTGGCAATGCCTGGGGCAATCTTTTGTTGAGAGGTGATTAGATGTCCTTGTTTGTTTCCTCTCTGTTGTTGTGCTGTTGTAATTTTAGAGTTTTTTTAATACTGGTATCCAGATTTTGTTCATTTTCATGGTTTCCTCCTTTCTGTTGAAATTATCCACATGCTTCTTGTGGATTTCAATGGCTTCTCTGTGTAGCCAGCGAAGAGAAAAAAAAATAAAACAAATGCAAAGAAGCCAGAATGGATGTCCAAAGAACTTCTAACTGGGCTAAGACTCCAAAGAGACATGCACAAGAAGTGGAAAAAGGGAGAAATCACCAAAGAAGAATTCAAATGAATATCCAACTAGTTTAGAGAGAAGGTTCGCAAGGCTAAAGTGCAAAACAAGCTCAGGCTTGCCAGAGATATTAAAAACAATAAAAAGGGCTTTTTTATGTCAGTAGGAAAAAAAAGAACAAGGAGGTGATAGGGCCTCTGTGAGGAGAAGATGGGGCAATGCTGACAGGAGGTAAAGAAATGCCTTCTTTGCCTCAGTCTTCTCACAAAAAGAAAGCCATCCTCAACCTCAGCACCATGGAATGAATGAAGGAATAGGGGAAATCCAACCCCAAATAGGGAAACAAGTCATCCAGGAATACCTGACCATTCTAAACAACTTCAAGTCCCCAGGTCCAGATCAACTACACCCAAGAGTATTGAAGGAACTAGCGGAAGTTATTTTGGAACCATTGGCAATTATCTTTGAGAGTTCTTGGAGAACGGGAGACGTTCCAGCAGATTGGAGGAGGGCCAATGTGGTCCCAATCTTCAAGAAGGGAAAAAAGGATGACCCAAACAACTACCGTCCGGTCAGCCTCACGTCAATACCGGGCAAGATTCTGGAAAAGATTGTTAAGGAAGTGGTCTGCAAACACTTAGAAACAAATGCAGTCATCGCTAATAGTCAACATGGATTTATCAAAAACAAGCCATGCCAGACTCATCTGATCTCTTTTTTTGATAGAGTTACAAGCTGGGTAGATGCGGGGAATGATGCCGTGGATGGAGCGTGTCTGGATTTCAGGAAGGCCTTCTTTGACAAGGTCCCCCATGACCTTCTGGCAAGGAAACTAGTCCAAGGTGGGCTAGGCAAAACTATAGTTAGGTGGATCTGTAATTGGTTAAGCAGATGAACCCAGAGGGTGATTCTCCCCAAGGCTTCCTCTTTATCCTGGAAAAAAGTGACGAGTGGAGTGCCATCAGCAGGGTTCCGTCCTGGGCCCGGTCCTGTTCAACATCTTTATTAATAAATTAGACGAAGGGTTAGAAGGCAGGATCATCAAGTTTGCAGATGACACCAAATTGGAATAGTCAATACTCCAGAAGACAGGCACAGGTTCCAAAACAATCTTAACAGATGAGAAAGATGGGCCAACACTAACAAAATGAAGTTCAACAGGGACAAATGCAAGGGACTCCGCTTAGGCAGAAAAAAATGAAATGCAAAGATACAGAATGGGGGTTGCATGGTCCAACGGCATTTTGGCCTGCATCAATAGGAGTCTAGTGTCTAGATCCAGGGAAGTCATGCCCCCATGTTCTATTCTGCCTTGGTTAGACCACACCTGGAATACTGTGTGCAATTCTGGGCACCACAATTGAAGAGAGACACTGACAAGCTGGAATGTGTCCAGAGAAGGGTGACTAAAATGATCAAGAGTCTGGAGAACAAGCCCTATGAGGAGCGGCTTAAGGAGCTGGGCATGTTTAGCCTGCAGAAGAGAAAACTGAGAGGAGACATGATGAAGGCCATGTATAAATATGTGAGGGGCCCATGAGGTCGCTACCAACTCTATGATTCTATGGCCGGAATCCTACGGTGAGTAAATGACAGCTGGGGTCACAGGCAAGCATGGTCTGGGATAGGAAAACGAAGTGGGATATAGGCTGATGAAATTTTGCCAGGAAAACTCACTATGTATAACAAACGCTCTCTTCTAACAATCTACATGGACTTCACCAGACTGGAATCAGAGTGATGACATCTTTTGCGGCCAAAGGTAGTGGATATCCCTCCCGTCAAAGAAAACAAGGCCTGGGGCTGACTGTAGTTCAGATCACGAACTTCTTATTGCACAATTTAGAATCAGACTAAAGAGAATAGTGAAGACACACAGTTGGATCTCACTAATACTCCTAGTGAATATGCAGTGGAGGTGAAGAATAGATTTAAGGGACTGGATTTAATAGAACTATGGACAGAAGTCCATAACAGAAGGTGGAAACAAAGTACGTCCCAAAGAAACAGAAAATCAAGGAGGCAAGAGGGTTGTCTGCTGAGACACGGGAAGTAGCCCAAGATGGAAGGAAAGCAAAAGGAAACCGAGATAAGGGGAGATAGGCCCAGTTAAATGCACAATTCCAGAGGTTAGCCAGAAGAGAGAAGGAACGATTTTTAAGCAAGCAATGCATGGAAGTGGAAGAAGATAACAGAATCGGAAGGACAAGAGACCTCTTCCAGAAAATCAGAAACATCAGAGGTAAATTGCAGGCAAAAATGGGCATGGTCAAAAACAAAGATGGCAGGGACCTAACAGAAGCTGAAGAGCTCAAGAGAAGGTGGCTAGACTACACAGAAGATCTGTACAGGAAGGATATTGAGGATAGCTTTGATGGTGTGCTGCTGTCACACCACAGGATCCAATTAGCAAAAAAAAAAAAAATACTCACAAGAAACTTGGCTGGAACTGGCTGCAATTGCTTTGACCTCTACAGCAAAAGAAAGACCCTCCTGGCATTCTTTCCCACCATCTCCTAGTTCTATAGCCATTTCCCTGCCCCTCTCTCCCCAGTTCTCAGCTGTTCTGATGTGGGATTCCCAAGAAATTCTCCCTTTGATATATGGACCAAGGTAGAGGCCTCTCACCTTCTGGTATAATTTACAATAAAATAATATTGTACAGGGAGGAGGGAGCAAGCTTGTTTTCTGCTTCCTTGGAGAGTAGGACAATGGCTTCAAACTACAAGAGAGGAGATTCCATCTGAACATGAGGAAGAACTTCCTGACTGTGAGAGCCGTTCAGCAGTGGAACTCTCTGCCCCGGAGTGTGGTGGAGGCTCCTTCTTTGGAAGCTTTTAAGCAGAGGCTGGATGGCCATTTTTCAGGGGTGATTTGAATGCAATATTCCTGCTTCTTGGCAGAAGGGTTGGACTGGATGGCCCAGGAGGTCTCTTCAAACTACAAGAAAGGAGATTCCATCTGAACATGAGAAGGAACTTCCTGACTGTGAGAGCCGTTCAGCAGTGGAACTCTCTGCCCCGGAGTGTGGTGGAGGCTCCTTCTTTGGAAGCTTTTAAACAGAGGCTGGATGGCCATCTGTCAGGGGTGATTTGAATGCAATATTCCTGCTTCTTAGCAAATGGGGTTGGACTGGATGGCCCAGGAGGTCTCTTCCAACTCTTGGATTCTAGGATTCCATGTTCAGCAGTGGAACTCTCTGCCCCAGCGTGTGGTGGAGGCTCCTTCTTTGGAAGCTTTTAAGCAGAGGCTGGATGGCCATCTGTCAGGGGTGATTTGAATGCAATATTCCTGCTTCTTGGCAGAAGGGGGTTGGACTGGATGATGGCCCAGGAGGTCTCTTCCCACTCTAGGATTCTAGGATTCTATATGTGTGCCATATCCTCAATTTCAGGTGCCCCGCAGATACAACTCCATTCATTATAAGGGATGCTGTTAAATCTCCAATACCTGACCATTGTATCAAGCCGATATGGAGACTCAAAGCTGCTTAGAAATTAAAAGCATTGCAATACAACTTATTTATGTATGTATGTATGTATGTATGTATGTATGTATGTATGTATTTAGAGCTTTTATAACCCAGTCTTCTTGACTCAGGCCGGTTCACAACAAAAGATTCATAAACAATAGTATAAAACATCACACCTCATAATACACTAATACATAAAATACATTAAAATACAAACATATAATTACATAAGGCCAAGTCGTGAGAATGAAATCACAATTCATCACCATCCGTCCGTGTGGTCAAGAGTTATTGACTCACTCATCAAATGCTAAATTCCAAAGCCAAGTTTTCACCAGCTTTCTAAAAGTCAGGAGAGAAGGGGCAGTTCTAATCTTAAAAAACAGAAATATTAAAAGAGCATTACACATCATGAATAGTAAAACGATTTTGGTTAAATCCATAAAAAGGATACGAAGCATATCAAACCAGAGCAGGGTTGGATTAGATGGCTTATTCAGCATTTCTCAACCTGGGGGTCGGGACCCCTGGAGGGGTCGCGAGGGGGTATCAGAGGGGTCGCCAAAGACACAGTATTTTCTGTTAGTCATGAGGGTTCTGTGTGGGAAGTTTGGCCCAATTCTAATCTTGGTGGGGTTCAGAATGCTCTTTGATTGTAGGTGAACTATAAATCCCAGTAACTACAACTCACAATGTCGAGGTCTATTTTCCCCAAACTCCAGCAGAGTTCACATTTGGGCATATTGATTGTCATGCCAATTTTGGTCCAGATCCATTATTGTTTGAGTCCGCAGTGCTCTCGGGATGTAGGTGAACTACAACTCCAAAACCCATCAAACCCTTCCAGTATTTTCTGTTGGTCATGGGAATGACCACTCCAGACATGTATAGGGTTTCTGCCCAGTGAAAAACCTTTGTTGTTTACATAGGTCTCCACTCTGATTGAAGCTCTGTCCACACCAAGCATTGATAGGGTTTCTCGCCAGTGTGTAAACTGAAATCTGAGTAAAGTTCTGTCCACACTCCGGGCATTTCCCCCCAGTGTACGTCCTTTGATGTTTACTAGATTTGAACTATCAATGAACCTGTTTGCTTCTTGATTTTTTATTGAATACAAGATAACATAATCTTTGAGCAGATAATAAATATCTATTGTGAGCTTATATTCTGATAAAGTGTTTCTAGATTATCTATTTGCCTTTTTACAAGTTCATTCTCAATTGGTGAACCCCTTTCCAAAACCAAGCATTCATAAGGTTTCTCCTCAGTGTGAGTCCTTTGATGTGAACACAGACCTGAATTATCAGGGAAGCTCTGTCCACACTCGAAGCATGTATAGGGTTTCTCCTCAGTGTGAATCCTTTGATGTGATTGTAGACCTCCATTCTGAGTGAAGCTCTGTCCACACTCCAAGCATGTATAGGGTTTCTCCTCAGTGTGAATCCTTTGATGTGAACATAGATCTGAACTATCAGTGAAGCACTGACCACACTCCAGGCATGTATAGGGTTTCTCCTCAGTATGAGTCCTTTGATGTGAACATGGGCCTGAACTATCAGTGAAGCTCTGGCCACACTCCAGGCATGTATAGCGTTTCTCCTCAGTGTGAGTCCTTTGATGTGAACGTAGATTTGTACTATATGCAAAACTCTGCCCACACTCCAGGCATATATAGGGTTTCTCCCCAGTGTGAGTCCTTTGATGTGAATGCAGACCCGAATTATGAGCGAAGCTCTGTCCACATTCCAAGCATTTATAGGGTTTCTCCCCAGTGTGAATCCTTTGATGTGAATGTAGATGTTCACCACGAGTGAAGCTCTGTCCACATTCCAGGCATGCATAGGGTTTCTCCCCCGTGTGTGCTCTTTGATGTCGCGATAACCCTGAACTATAAGCGAACCTCCTCCCACACTCCAGGCATTCATAAGATTTTCCCCCAGTGTGAATCCTTTGATGTGATTGTAGACCTCCACTCTGAGTGAAGCTCTGACCACATTCAAGGCATGTATAGGGTTTCTCCCCCATGTGAGTCCTTAGATGGGAACGTAGACCTGAACTAGAAGCAAAGGTCTTTCCACATTCCATGCATGTAAAGGGTTTCTCCCCAGTGTGTGTTCTTTGATGTTGACATAAATATGAACTATAAGCGAACCTCTTTCCACACTCCAGGCATTTATAGGGTTTCTCCCCAGTGTGAGTCCTTTGATGTGAACGTAGATTTGTACTATAAGCGAAGCTCTGTCCACACTCCAGGCATTTGTAGGGTTTCTCCCCAGTGTGAGTCCTTTGATGTGAATAGAGACCTGAATTATGAGCAAAGCTCAGTCCACATTCCTGGCATTTATAGGGTTTCTCCCCAGTGTGAGTCCTTTGATGTGTATGTAGATGTGCACGCTGACTGAAGCTCTGTCCACATTCCTGGCATTTATGGGGTTTCTCCCCAGTGTGAATCCTTTGATGTCTATGTAGATGTGCACTCTGAGTGAAGCTCTGACCACACTCCAGGCATATATAGGGTTTCTCCCCAGTGTGAGTCCTTAGATGTGAACGTAGACCTGAACTTTGTGTGAAGCTTTGTCCACACTCTAGGCATATATAGGATTTCTCCCCAGTGTGAATCCTTTGATGTGAACATAGACCTGAACTATGAGTGTAACTCTTCCCACACTCCAGGCATTCAGATTTCTCCCCAATGTGAGTCCTTTGATGTGAACGTAGATTTGTACCATAAGCGAAGCTCTGTCCACACTCCAGGCATTTATAGGGTTTCTCCCCAGTGTGAGACTTTTGATGTGAACGTAGGTATCTACTCTGATTGAAGCTCTGTCCACACTCCAGGCATGTATAGGGTTTCTCCCCACTGTGTGTTCTTCGATGTTGACATAAACCTGAACTATGAGTGAACCTCTTCCCACACTCCAGGCATTCATAAGGTTTCTCCTCAGTGTGAGTCCATTGATGTGAATGTAGATGTGTACTACGACTGAAGCTCTGTCCACACTCCAGGCATGTATAAGGTTTTTCCCCAGTGTGAGTCTTTTGATGTGAATGTAGATTTGAAATCTGAGCAAAGCTCTTTCCACACTCAAGGCATGTGTAGGGTTTCTCCCCAGTGTGAATTCTTTGATGTTCATATAGATTTGAAGTATGAGTGAACCTCTTCCCACACTCCAGGCATGTATAGGGTTTCTCCCCAGTGTGAGTCCTTTGATGTGAACGTAGACCTGAACTATAAAGGAAGCTTTGTCCACACTCCAGGCATTTATAGGGTTTCTCTCCAGTGTGAGTCTTTTGATGTTTATGTAGATTTCCTCTCTGAGTGAAACTCTTTCCACACTCCGGGCATGTATAAAGTTTCTCCCCAGTGGGAGTCCTTTGATCTGAATGTAGACTTCCACTCTGAGTGAAGCTCTGACCACACTCCGGGTATTTAGATGCTTTCTCCTCCATGTCAACAATGATATGGGTGTTTAATTTCAATATGGATGTTTGACTCTTCTTTATTCCTTTGTTATCTGTAAGTGAAGGAAGAATTCAGCAAGATCATCGCCTCGAGAGGATTTCTTCTCCCTGTATTATTGGTTTCCTTACTGCATCCAAGAGGTCGCTCCAAAGAGTCCTCACTTCCCTGGTGAAGAAAGAAGAGAAAGATCAAGGATGGAAGCCAGAGACCTTCTCTACCTCCAAGATTGTCCCCTTCCCCTTTATGGGTCACGTTGAGAATGGAAATACCAAGAAATGCAGACACTGGGGCCCCGTGCACATACATAATGGGTCCCAGGTTTACTTTCTGAGCATCCCAAATTAGATCCCCACTGCCACCAATTTTTCTGTCTTTTCTTGCAGTTAAACAAGCCTTTGCCTTTCCAGTCACCTAATTCAAAACCACATTGAGGCTTGGTTGAGACATTCACATGAGTCTCTGCTGAACAAAGTCCCCTTGGGGTGATTCATTCCCTTGGCTCAGCCCCAGGATGGGCTGCAAAGACAAGCACAGCTCCACCCACAATGCCTTTTTCTTGACTATGTTTTTGCCCTCTTCCCCTTTTCTTTCTTGTCCTCTGTTCAGGGAAAGATTTTCAGCAGCGGAAGGAGAGCTCGAGAAACACAGGCTTTCCATCCAGGGTCTTTCCTAGGAATGTCTTTGCAGTGACCAATGCAATAAATCCCAACCTGGGGAAGAAAGGGCATTTACTCTGAGCAAACCTCCCATAGAAGCAACCTCAACAATGCCTAAGCACAGGCAAAACATCTTCTGGGGAGGCCCTGCTCTTGGCCCCACCTCTATCACAAGTGAGAATGGTTGGGACGAGGAGCAGGACCTTCTCGGTGGTGGCCCCTCACCTGTGGAGGTCAGTCCCCGGGGAAATTAGGTCATCGACATCCCTCCTCTCCTTTAGAAGGAAATTAAAAACCTGGATTTGGGACCAGGCCTTCGGGTAATCTGGCGGATAGATAAGGTACAAGCGACAACCAGAATTGTTGGATTGGACAATGTGGAATTTGAATTAACGGACTCTGAGATGATCAACGTTGAGCATTAGATTGTTTTAAGGACTGTGATATTTAGTGGATTGTTTTAATTGTTTAATTACTGTTTATATGTTTATTTTTATTTTTACCTTATTGTTGTGCCGGCATCGAATTGTGCCTTTTTGTAAGCCGCCCTGAGCCCCCCCTCGGGGGTTGAGAAGGGCGGGGCAGAAGTGCGAGAAATAAATAAATAACAAAACAGCCCAAAAAGAGGAAAGCCAATCAGCCTGTCTTTCCCCCAGGTATGAAATAAAAACATGGAGCTATAAGTTTGGCCTCCCAAAAGGAAATCCTAGGAAAAATTGAAGACTGGGGGGAAAAAGTGTTTCCTGGAAAAGTCTTTCCTTTTGGAAGATACAATTGAAACTCAACTAATAATGATGTGTAATTAGTGGGTTGAAAATGAATCAGCTGGATGAAAGTCAAAGTAGGGGTGGAGTCCCTTTCTTTAGAATGACTCTGACTGCAGTCAAAACAATTCGGGCTGCAGAGATACAAGCAATATATCCATTTCAAAGCAAAACGGCTTGTGAGTGGTTACTTGATATTGCTAGATAGATCCTACAGTCCGACACTTTGACTGCAGTCAAAACAATTCAAGCTCTCTACAATAACACTGTCTGGGAGCATGGCCAAATACAGGGATGTACTTATAAAAGACATCTAATGGAAAACTTGTTGTAATACGACACCCAGTGAACAATAAGTAAATAAAATAAGGAGGGCACCTGCACTTTCATAATAAACTTGTTTACAATGAAGAAAAAACAAACTAGGTGGGTGTAAATATTGAAGCAAATGGAAATACTAAATGGAATGATCAAGAATGCTAATACTAAACTTTAAAAATTTAATACGTACTTCAAGAGGGCAAGTTTGGCCTCGGAGGAGACGAAACCGGGATATGAACAAAGGGAATTAAGTATGTTGGAAAGAAAGGAAGATGGACAAATCAAAGACCAGGAAGCGGTATCTCAGAAGGAACCGTTAAATACCAATTTGAGGACAGACTTGGCCCCTGAAGAGGAGGAACAGATACATGAACAAGAGGAGCCAAATAAATCTGGAAAAATGGAGGAAGATGCACAACGAAAGGAAGCGGGAACTCAGAAGGAACCACCACAGAATGGACTCTTGGCAAAAGTCAAGAGACAAAATATACACGGAGAACAAAGAAAATTTCAAATTAAGGTGAGAAATATCTCAAAAGATATCGGGACTCTAAAGATGATGTCAAATTAAATCTCCACTCCTACTGGTATGAGTTATTTATTGTCTGTGTTGCTGTGTTGTTTTTATTGATGTATTGGGCTCGGCCTCTTGTAAGCCACACCGAGTCCTCTGGGAGATGGTAGCGGGGTATAAATACAGGTTTATTACTATTTATTATTACTGGTAAATACAGAACTCCCCAAAAGCAGGTTTAAATAAAGGGAATCCCCATAGTCTATGGCTAACAGGAAACTTTGGGACCAAGTGGATAAGAGAGGGGAGGAGGGATTGTTTGGTAATACAAGATCAAGAAGAATGTCATGTAAACCATAACATTAGGGTCCGGCTTTTGCACAACTGGTAAATCACCTGCCGGTTGTCGGTTTTAAGCCCCAAGTCGGAGTGAGCAGCCCAGCTCACTGTTTAACTAAGCAGTTCGAAAATAGTTTAGAGCTGTAAGTCGAGAAATTAGGTACCGCTAAAAAGTGGGGGTGGTATCTTGTTGTTGTTGTTCATTCGTTCAGTCGTCTCCGACTCTTCGTGACCTCATGGACCAGCCCACGCCAGAGCTCCCTGTCGGCCGTTACCACCCCCAGCTCCCTCAAGGTCAGTCCAGTCACTTCAAGGATGCCATCCATCCATCTTGCCCTTGGTCGCCCCTCTTCCTTTTGCCTTCCACTTTCCCCAGCATAATTTCTTCTCTAGGCTTTCCTGTCTCCTCATGATGTGGCCAAAGTACTTCAACTTTGTCTCTAGTATCTTTCCCTCCAGTGAGCAGTCGGGCTTTATTTCCTGGTGGACTGGTTGGATCTTCTCGCAGTCCAAGGCACTCTCAGCACTTTCCTCCAACACCACAGCTCAAAAGCAACGATCTTCCTTCGCTCAGCCTTCCCTAAGGTCCAGCTCTCACATCCATAGGTTACTACAGGGAATACCATGGCTTTGACTAGGCGGATCTTGGTTGCCAGTCTGATGTCTCTATTCTTTACTATTTTATCGAGACTGGACATTGCTCTCCTCCCAAGAAGTAAGCGTCTTCTGATTTCCTGGCTACAGTCTGCATCTGCAGTAATCTTTGCACCTAGAAATACAAAGTCTGTCACGGCCTCCACGGTTTCTCCCTCTATTTCCAGTTGTCAATCATTCTTGTTGCCATAATCTTGGTTTTTTTGACGTTTAGCTGCAACCCGGCTTTTGCGCTTTCTTCTTTCACCTTGATTAGAAGGCTCCTCAGCTCCTCCTCGCTTATCTTATGACACCATAAAAGAAAAAGATCACAAATTGCCCGGTGACCAAAAGGAAGGAGGAAGTCGTGATGGCTTTTTGTCATAGAGGATGGAGCAACAGCACCCTCCTGTGGCTGGATTTGAGCACAACCTCCAAGGCGCCAAAGCTGGATGCCTCCTTCCTGACTGTTCTGTCTTGTCTGTCCAAACAGCATTGAATGTTTACCTGTATGTGTACTGTGATCTGCCCCGAATCCCCTTTGGGAGATAGGGCAGAATATAAATAAAATGTTGTTGTTATTATTATTATGTAAACTTGGTGATTTAAAATTTGGGTATTGATTCATATATATTTTAAACTAGCTTGAGTACCCGGCGATGCCCAGGTTATTTAAAAAAGCCATTGTTTGTTTTGGTGTGTTAGGTAATATCATTTAGTTAATTAGTAACACTACTTACCTCTCCGAACGCATCTCCTCCTATGAACCGACTAGGACATTAAGATCGTCTGGGGAGGCCCTGCTCTCGGTCCCGCCCGCATCGCAGGCGCGGTTGGCGGGGACGAGAGACAGGGCCTTCTCGGTGGTGGCCCCTCGGCTGTGGAACGCCCTACCTGTGGACATCAGACAGGCCCCCTCATTGCTGGCATTCCGGAGGAAGGTCAAGACCTGGCTTTATGAACAAGCGTTTGGCTAATTGTGCAATGAAACACAGTAAGATGGTACAACTGAACATAGGAATTGGTATAAAGGATTATGATTGCGGATTCTGATTTTGATTTGTTTGCTGAGGCGCACGTCTAGGTTAATGATTGCTTGTTTTGATATGTTTTGTATAATGTGTTTTAACTGCTTTTTGATGTTGTTGTGTCAACCTTTACTATGTAAACCGCCTTGAGTCGCCTTTTTTGGCTGAGAAAGGCGGTATAGAAGTAAAGCAAATAAATAAATAATAAATAAATATTTATTAGAAAAATGCCAGGTTTTACTTTTGTTTTTTTATGAATGCTCCCATTAGAAAATGCATAAGGATGTGGGTGAACTACACTTCCCAGAATCATGGATTGATCCTCCCCAAACCAGGCCAGTATGTAGTTGGCCATGTTGGGGGTGTGTGCCAAGTTTAGTCCAGATCTGTCGTGGGTTGGGTTCAGTGCTCTCTGGATAAGGGTGAACTACAACTCCCATATGCCAAGGACAGTCCAGATCCATTTTCAAAGGGGGTCTTGATTCAAGGCGAACTACAACTTCCATCCTGTTGAGTCAGGCCCCAAAACACCTCCAGTCTGTTCAGTTGCTGATAAATTCTTGTGTGTTTGCAGTGTGCCATAGGAAAGGTAGGAAAGGCTTAAGGTACAGGCAGTGGGCGGGGCCAAGCAAATTCCACACAAGGAACCCTGGGATGCCTATCTGTGGTGGCGGAAACATGTCAAATCTAGGATGTAATTCTCCTCAAATGAAAGCATTCCTTGGGTGGTGGGTCGTAGAGTTTGGGGAGGACCTTGGCAGTGTTTGGTTGCATGTTCATGGCACTCACTATAACCTGCAATGTGAGTGGAGGGAGTGCCTTTGGAGGCTTCTCAGCACTTGGAACTATAGCCTGTTTGTAGAGGCCAGAGGCTGTTTGTGTAAGTGGACGTCTTTGCACAGCTTAGGCT